TATATATATATTTTAAAACTATATCTAAACTGGTAACTAACTTATAGTTTGTTAAATAGATATTTAATTTAGATAAGATTAACCGAGAAAATCTTTTTCTTATGCATATCCGTTGCTTATAAAATAGGTTGAAAGCTACAATTCTCTGTAACGAAATAGCAAGGAACAAGAAGAAGAGATGGAAGTAGAAGGTAACGAAAGTGGAAGAGCAGAAGTTGAGAGAAAAAACATCAATGACTGGCTTCCCATCACAAAATCCAGAAACGCAAAGTGGTGGTATTCTGCTTTTCACAATGTCACTGCTGTAGTTGGAGCAGGAGTGCTGGGTTTTCCCTACGCTATGTCAGAGCTAGGATGGTTCGTTCACCAATTATTTTTCCCTTTAAATTTCTAACCTTGTGTGATTTTCCTTTTGCATGTTAAACGATCACGTTGTTTGTGGTGTGTGGCAGGGGTCCAGGTGTTACAATACTGATTCTTTCATGGATCTGCACGCTCTACACGGCATGGCAAATGATTCAAATGCATGAGCCCGAACCAGGAAAGAGGCTTGACAGGTATCACGAGTTGGGGCAGTATGCGTTTGGAGAGAAGCTAGGACTGTGGATTGTTGTGCCCCAGCAACTGATGGTTCAGATTGGTGTTAATGTAGTATACATGATAACGGGTGGGAATTCTCTGATGAAGATACACGATACTCTTTGTGATGGATGCACTCCCATTAGAAGAACCTACTTCATCATGATCTTTGCAGCTGTTCAGTTCTTTCTCTCCCATCTCCCCAGTTTCAACTCCATCAGTGTTATTTCTTTTGCTGCCGCTGTCATGTCGCTCAGCTACTCCACTATCGCGTGGGCAGCGTCACTTCACAGGGGCGTTCAACCGGGAGTGCAATATGGTAGCAGGTTTTCAACCGATGCAGGGAGTGTATTTGGGGTTTTTGGTGCTTTGGGGACTATAGCTTTTGGGTATGCCGGGCACAACGTAGTTTTGGAGATCCAAGCAACAATCCCTTCCACGCCAGAAAAGCCCTCAAAAAAAGCCATGTGGAAGGGCATGCTTGTTGCTTATGTCGTGGTCGCTCTTTGTTATTTTCCTGTTGCTCTTGTTGGTTACTGGGCTTTTGGAAACGGTGTTGATGACAACATTCTTCTCTCCCTCGAGAAACCTCGTTGGCTCATCGTAGCTGCTAATCTCTTTGTTTTTGTGCATGTAACTGGCAGCTATCAGGTACACGCACTGCATCACTTCTCTTCCTCATTGGATTAACAAAATTTAAAACGCTCTTAATCATGTAAATCTAATTCGTTTTCGTGTTAGGTTTTCGGCGTTCCGGTGTTTGATACATTGGAATCATTCCTGGTGAAACAGATGAAGTTCCAGCCAACTTGGTTCCTTCGATTCATAACTCGCAATTGCTACGTTTGTGAGTGTGCTTTCATCTCTCACACTTAATAATCCCACCAATAGATATAATTTATTTATCTAACCAGTACAACATTATTCTTTGTATATGTATGCAGTACTTACACTTTTCCTTGGAGCTACATTCCCTTTCTTTGGCGGGCTTCTAGGATTCTTTGGGGGTTTTGTGTTTGCTCCAACCACATACTTTGTAAGCAAAAATAATGTCTTAGATAACTTTTTCTTAAAATAATCAAAAGCTGATGTTAATTAACCTATGTCTCAATCGTTTGCAGCTCCCCTGCGTAATGTGGCTTGTCATCTACAAACCCAACAGATATAGCTTGTCGTGGTGGGCAAATTGGGTATGTAGGCAAAAAATATTATCCACATGTCTTGTAGTTGTTTTGTTTCTTGTTATGTCCTTATACAACTGATGAGTTGGATTTTTCTTCTTATCTCAGTTCTGCATCATATTTGGAGTGTTCTTGATGGTGTTAGCCCCAATCGGCGCATTGAGACAGATCATACTAGAAGCTAAGGATTACAAATTCTACTCTTGATCTTTTTCGCACACAAGAACCTATTCTAATTTTTTTTCCTTTTGACCTTAATTTCTTGGACAGTTTTATTTTATTAGGTCTACATTCCTTGTTTCTGAAAATTTATTTATTACTTCTTAATTTTTTTCAACAGTTGAAACAATTCTATATTCTGTTTTGATGTGCATCTAAGCTATATACCTGAGGTCCTAACTAAATTTGTTATTAGTGTTTTCAAATAAGTGAAAATTAATTACAAAAAAAACAAAAAACACTTGATAACTGAAAGAAATCGATGTTTTTTGAAATTTTTTATTCCTCAACCAAACGGTAAGCAAATGGTTAATTCAATTAAAATAGAATATTGCAGTTTTTATTTAATTAACAATAGGTAGATGTGATTTTAGAAATGTGAATTCACCATTTGTTTTATTGTTTTAACTTCCATTATATTTATCGAAACGACTCCCTGGTCTGTTGGAAAGGTATTGTTGTGAGTGAAATTTTCAAAAACTTATATTTTAGGTTTGAATTTCTCTGATGATCACATTAATTGTCGAGATTTATATGATAAAACCTAAAATAATATTAAACATAAAATTAGGAGTAAATGTATAAAAACCGTTAGTTTTCATAAATCAGAGGAATTATATATATAATACATAAATAAAAACTCAAAAAATATATAACAAATTTTATGACTATATATATTAACATGTGAGAAATCATCCCTGATTTTCCTATTCATTCTGTTAAGTCATGATTTAGGCCTAATTTTTAGGCAATCAATGCTTACAGGATAAATACAAAATAATAATAAACTATTTTACTTCCCATTAAATAAAACATTTAATTCTGCATAAATATAAAAGTAAAAAGTATATTTTGCCTACAGTTATAATCGATTTATAATCAGAGAGAAAATAGAAAAAATAAATTAAAATTGTACTATATCGAGTTTAAATAAAATATCACCAAATATAAGTCTGTGCTAAAAAGTTGTTATAAATGCAAATAGTAGTCAGTTTCCTTTTTATAAGTTAGCCCATTAAGGTTAAGAACACGAGTCCACATTCTTATCATGTTCCTTTATTTATTCAGTTAAAAAATTAAATATTAATTTTAGTATTTTACATATTCATATATATATATATATATATATATATATATATATATATATATATATATATATATATATATATATATATATATATATATATATATATATATATATATATATATATATATTGTATATGTTAGCATAATAATGTAAATTAAATAAATTTGTTTACAGAAATATCAATTCAAAGATTTGATTCTGTTGTTTGAAATTTAAAAAAAAATCAAAAACATTTTGATAATTTAAATAAAACTTAGAAAACTCTTTAATTAATTTTATTAAAAAAAACAAAGCTAATTAGAAGTAAATTACATTTTGTCTAAAATTTAATTAAAATATTTTTCAACCTTCCATACCATTCATTAAAAAAACACAAAAAATAATATTATTTGCACCATTTTTTTTTCTTTTTTTCTCTTTCTATCTGTTTTCGATGTCCTTCCTCATCCATAACAACAACTTCCTTAATCAATTTGTAAAGGAAAATGCTATATTATGAAATTTTATTCCGTTGCTTCATCCGCTTTTCCAACTGACACAGTTCATTAAAAACAAAAATTACTTCAAAAAACCATCTGCATTGTTAGTAAACTAAAAAAGAGGTTGGAAAAAACAGAAAAAGATATTAAAATTTAAGATTGTTGTTCTGAAATAAAAAATTATAGTTATAACTAAGAAACAGTAGAAATAAAAAGGAGTATTATAAGTATAAGCCCAAAGTTAAGCTAGCAACATATCATCATAAATTTCCTTTCGTTTTTATTTTGATTAAAATGTGTATTTACATTATGTGTTTGTTAAAATAAACGTAGAGAAGGAAAAATTAATCTGTGATTGCTAAAACACTGTGACTATTGAAAATATTATTTTTGTACATCTCCTTTTAATATATGTTTCGGTGGTCTTCTTGTTATCATTGTTATGTTACGCTACAAATAATCTTAACAAGCCATTGCATGAAGATTATATTCACTTATATATATATATAAATCCCAGTGATTTGAGATGTTAATAAAAATCTCAGTTTTGTATTATTTTAAAAATGTTATTTTAACAAATTAAAATGATATTAATGCATAATAAATGTTATAAAAATTATTTTCCCTAGCTGAAAATAAATACAATCTAGGATAAAATTTCATAAAAGAAAGTTATTTTTGGTTTAACTTAAAATTTGAAGACACAAATTGTGATAGTTTCATATCTTAATTTTTTTAATAATGACAGTATATTATAATTTTAGTTAAATTTTTTTTTATTTAGTTTCTATATTAAAAGTTAAGTTCCACAAATTAGTTTTTTAAATAGTTTTTCTGTAAAACCATAAAATATGGTGGTATTTTAGAGGTGGTGATAATTTAAAAATAGTGAGACTCGGTTATTATAATATTAAATGGTTTTATTATAAATAGTTTTGTTATAATATTAAATGGTTTTATTATAAATAGTTTTGTTATAAACAAGTTTCATCATTTTAAAATCTATCATCTTTTTAGAAACCACTCTTATAGAGTTTTTTGTATTCTCTCTTGAAGATTTTAACTCGATCATTTGTTTGACAATTAAGAACCTCCTAGGAGATCACGGTAGAGTAATCTTCACATCTGATTAATTTATAGAATAGAGTATGGACACATTTGTCTAATGTCTACTGTTAGACTCGTCTAATTCTTATATGCATAGACTCATCTAATGTGTATTGCAAAACTCGTCTAACCAAATAATTAATAAAGTCATCTAATGTATAATAATGCACTTATCTAATATATGTATGAATAGACGGGTCTAACTAATGAATATGAATGATTCGTTTAATATTTTATTATTATATTTGTCTAATTTGTATTACTATACTCATCCTAGTATGTTTTTGCTATATTAATTAAATTAGTGTGGAGATACTCGTCTAATATGTATAATTAGACTATGTTTTCTTTTTATAATTGCGATGTGAGTTGCTAAATTCACCTGATCAATGTATATTCCTACCATCATTTAATAACAATATAAATTTTTATATTTTAAAATTGAAAATAAAAAAATTCAAAGAATATAAAAAAATATGCTTTAAAAATTAGTCACTCTTTAAATAATAAATATGTTAAAAATACGTTAAATAGACTTTTAGTGTTGGTTTAAATATTTTCAATTTATTATTTTAAAAAATTAACATAAAATATTTCAATTTTTATAACGATAAAGTATGTTGATTAAAATAAGAGTTATGAATTTATATAACAATAAATTGTACATAGGATTAATTAGAGTAGTAGATAAAAAAATAATCAAAGCAAACAACTAAATTGTTAGTTATATGAACAAATTACTACTTTGGTTTATGAAAATTTAATACCAAAAGTAACTTTAAATTTTAATTATTTGATATATTTTAAAACATCTTATTTAATAGTATAAACCACTAAGTGAAACAATGCAAAATGATAAATAAATGCAAATGCTATTACATTAATCCAAATGAGTATAATTATCATAACATACAACATGAATTTAAGCATAAAAGTTACAAAATTGAAGATTTTTTGAAAGGGTGAAAATGTAATGAGTTACAACTCTATAACTATTCAACTCAATCACCATCGACCTCCAAATATAGCTCGTCATCAGGCTCATCATCTGTTTACATCAATAAAGGTAATAATTACAAAAGAAGAACACAAACATAAAACAGACAAAAAAAAAGATAAGTTAATATATAAAAGAGGTATCATATCATCCTTAATCAGGCAATATTGAATAAACTAAGCAATTCATACAATTGTAACCCATCAGCTACATTGAAAAAGATTTATTAGACTCACTTTTCTGCATAACCAACATTATTGTATACCTACGTGCAAGTTTTAGCATTTGTAATGGTTAAGCTACACCCACTAACAATAATTCTATACAGGTTTGCAAAACTCCAAAGTATTTTTTCATTCCTACTACTCTCAAATCTTAATTTGTTCTCCTCTACATGAATATGAATAATTACTAGAGTGTCACGATAACTTCCATTTATAAATCCCTACTTTAAATTCACATCTAAAGAACCATACAACACTAAGGATTACCTTCTTAGAATCTCATCACCATCACAATTTCAGATATCATTATATTCCAAAAGTTTATACAATCCCACACATTCACATAACAACAAGTTATTACAAACTAACTTAACAACTCATATACAAATTGGTTTGGGGTTTTAATAATAAAACTACATCCGGTACCAAACTCAAAAAAAGTATGTTATAACATTCAAAATAAATATAAGTGAAAAAAAATGTAATTCAAAAAAAATTAACCAGATTAAGTATTTGTAAAAAAAGTTATGCAGTAAAAAACTAATAAAGTCAAAGTTATCAACAACCTATTACACGTGAACCTTACACAAAAACTAATCTCATTATAGACCTCTAACTAAAGATCTTATTGATCAAAGTAAACATATATGTGTCTAATACTCTATGTTAAAATTTTAAATCAATTCAACGGTTAATAAAGTAAGAATCTTCATTTTACGAAGAGGATGCAAGTAGTGTCCAATAGTAGAAATTGACGTTTAACGTCACAAAATCAGTAGATTCCTTGTCAAAGTGGTGCTTGAAACTAAATTATTCTTGAGTGTTGCTCTCTCCACCACCAAATACTCCCAGTCCCATCCTATACTCAATTTACCCTTGTTACCAAACTGATGTTGACATCCGTTTACGTATATTAACTTTTTTTTATATTTTAGTTTATTATTCTTATTTTAGATTTTATTTTAATAATATTTTTTACGTAATATATTATAAAAAAAATTAAATATTTTATAAATTAATTTAAAATATAAAAAATTAAATAATATTTATGTATTAATTTAAAATACAATAAATTAATAAACTAAACAAAAAACCTTAAATGGATGTGTGGCACATCCGATTAAATAATTATATAAAAAATATTTAAATAATTAATTAAATAATAATACATAAATTAAATTAATAATAATTATTTTATTAAATAAAATAAAATTAATTTATATATAATTACATAATAAATTAATTTATTTTATTTAATTAAATTGTTATTATTAATTTAATTAAATTATATAAAAATTCAATTAATTAGAATCAATGGATGTGTCACATCCGTAGTGTTTTTTTTTAATTTTTAGTTTATTTAAATATTATATTTTAATTAATTTATAAATTATTTAAATTTTTTGTTTTTTTATAATATAATACGCAACTTAATTTTATTTTATTTAATTAAATAATTATTATTAATTTAATTAAATTATACTATTTTTTAATTAATTATATTCAACAAATGTGGTGATTCGTTTATGTTTTTTTTTTAATTTTTAGTTTATTTAAATATTTTATTTTATTTAATTTATACATTATTTAATTTTTTTATAATATATTACGTAATTTATTTTATTTTATTTTATTAAATAATTATTATTAATATTATAAATTAATAAACTAAAAACTAAAAAGAAATATTAACCTTAAATAGATGTGGGCAGATGTGAGAAGTCCGTTGAAGAATATTTTCTTTAATAAATGTCACTATCAATTAAAGAAAAGAAGTAAGTTGTAGAATTTTTTAAAATATAAGAATTAGATTTAGAATTTTAAAAAAATGTGGTGGTGTAGGAAACAATCTGGAGTGGTATAAGGAGTAACCGTCGTTACTCTCTAACTTAGAAAACAAAATGAAGCCCAACACCACAATCCAATAAGAAGCTAACAACACAATTCAGTACAGGGTGTTGCTCCCTCCACCTCCACAGCCTTCTCCCTCCACCTCCCCAATTATCTTTAATTCCAATTATATCCTTAAAGTTAAAATTTTTTATTTTTATTATTTTATTATTTTAATATTTTAATATTTAAATATAAACTAATATAAATATACATTATTAAAATACATTAAAAAGATATTCAAAAATAATAAATCAAAATATTAAAATATCTAATAAAATAATAACAGAAACATAAAATTAAAACAAAGCTTAAACGGATGACATCCGTTGAAGGATGTCATCCGTTTAGGCTTCGTTTTCATTTTACGTTTTAGGGTTAAAGGATTATTGGAAAGATTATTGAAAGGGTTTAGGGTTTAGGGTTTAGGATTATTGGAAGGATTATGACTACGTACCTGGAGAGGAACCACGACAAGCACATTACACCACAAACGCACTGCACCACGTACTGCACCGAAAGCAAGAGGAAGATTGCTTGATAATTCTTTTCACGATCACTGAGCTTTGCAGAAAAATATTTTACTCATACAAGGAACTACGTAGGTTATCAGTGAAATATGTTATAAATGAGTAAAATTAAAAAACAATAATTCTAAAAATAAAATTTTACTGAGGGACAAAATAGTAAAGGAGAGGTGAAGGAAGAAGGCTGTGGTGGTGGAGGGAGCAACACCCTTCAGTACAATTTCCTATAAATCAAAATTTCTACACTACAACATAAACTAATTCACTTGCATATCACAACACCAAGCCATCATACTTATTCAATTCATCTTCTAGTCACTGAACACTTTTCCCAATAAACTTAATTCAATTCCACACCCACAAAAAAATATTATTAACAAATTATCTAAAATCAAAACTTAATTCAAAATTTGACTCAAATTTTGGCTACAAAAATTTGAAAAGTCTCGAACCACTTCGAATTCACGAAAATTTTATCTTAACCTGTATACAGCGGAAAGACGATCGAATCAACCAACAAAATACTAATTAAGAAAAAGTAAAAGTAAAAGTAAAAGTAAAATTAAAGCTAATAGAAACATATGCAAACTCATAAAAACCGCATACAATTTTTTTTAAAAGAATAAAAAAGTGAGGGTCACACCCGCTCTAGGTTTAATATTTATTTTAAAATACCAAAAAGTGAGGTTCATATCCTCGTTAGCCCCCATGTAAATAAATAATTGTCTTAAAAAATAAAATTTTAATGATGTTTAGTCCTTATAAGCAACAATATTTTTTTAAAATGTAAAACTTTAGGGAGGATTTAGTCCTAATTACTACTAATATTTTTCTAAAAATAAAATGTTGCTACTGGAAAATGAAGAGTGAATCTCTTCATCGAATTTGTGAGAGGACTTTGTCGGTCATCATCTTGATACTAGAATGGTTCATTTCCCAAGTTTATGGGACACATAGAGTCGTGTAAGAGACGGTTTTCCACTTTTTGAGAGGATTTCGAAAGGATTTTGATACTGATTTTTTTTTTGTTTATTTTCTTACAGTGCATATTATTATATACAAAAATTCTATTTAGTGGATATATAATTTTTTTTCCAGTTTTTATTTTTAAATAATCTTCTTATTAAACAAACTTACATCTTACCTCAGACGCATAGATGTAAAAGAGAGTTTAATTAAAAGAGAGGTTTTGCCTCTGAGTGGTAAATTTATAAATTTATTAAGTTATTGAAGACATTTTTCTTAATTAAAGTTACTATTATCATTGGTTTCACTCCCAATTGCACCTTTTTACCATATGTATTCCTCCACGCAACCCATCGCCCACACCGCTATATACCAACCTCCAAGCCCTCTTCTTTTTAACAGCATACGCATTATATCCCACTATCAATGTCTTTATCATGTTCTTGATGTGTTTCTTCAATCTTCTCACACTAATTTCCTCCTATTCTTCTTCTCACCATATCTTCGAATACCTAATCTTTTTCCATTCTCTCTTTCTCCCTCTTTGGCCATGCTCATTGAATAACTCATGCAAGAGAATTAATGAAGGTTTCCAAAGTATACAGTTCAGAAAGAATTCCAGCCAAAGACTCTTATAAAATAACACAAGGGTAAATTGGAGAATTCCAAAAATAGTATGTGGGGGTGTGGAAAGAAGTTACGGGACTAAGAAAAGAAATTGCCTTCAAGGAAACATGCTAGTAGAAGGAGCTTGACGGATTAAAAATGATAAAATCCGAAACTATCTTTTAAAACCGAAATTTTTATATATTTTAATTTTACTCACCTGAAATATATTGTGTAGAATTGAAGGAGGCAGAAAAAGTTCTTAACAAAAATATTTTATGCTTATTGTAACTATACTTGTTACGTTTCTTTCTGTCTTTCTTTTCTCCTCATGTATATAATAATATTTATGATATTCGCGAAAATCTAAATCCTAGGAAATAATAAAGCATCATTTTATCATTCGAAACTTGTGCACCAGATGCCTTATAAAGTGTATTTAAATTAATTCTTGATTTTGAAAGAGAAAGAGTAAAATCCAAATGAGATGCTGGAAAAGTAAAAGTTTACACGTTTGGCTTGGACTCAACAACGTGGTGCAATCAGCAGACGCCAGAGTTACATAGGTTAATGGCATCTCAAGTGACATTGAATAGGGTTGCGACAATCTCCCCCAGAACACATTTTTCGCCCTTTTTTTCCCACCTTACCCAGCACCATCTCAAACAACAAAATTCAATCCATGAAATAAAGAGATGGAAGCAACATAATACTTTTACTTGGCAGAAGGGTATGTTGCAAGATAGTGATTAAAGCTCAAACTGGAAAATCGTCTAAGGAACAAAAGACGAGATACATGCATTAATTTACAGTCATGCAGGCTGGCCTCGGGAGTTATATATATAGATTCATATATTCACAGTTCTGAGCACTTCAACGAAAAGTGTTCGATTGGGATTAAAAGCGATGTCTTTGTATGATATCTGGAATCAGTAACCCAATCTCAAAGCAGTTTTAACGTCCAACCTCCATGCAAAACCACCAAAATCCATTCTCCACACATCACAGCTTAACGTAAGCGAACCTCTCTCCCTCCCAAACGAATACTTCACCATCTTCACCTTACAAGTGAAGGAAGGATACGAAACCAGTGCACCCTCTTTGATCACCAGAAATACAGGTGCCTGTCTTTCTCCCTTCATCATCTCACCGTACGCCTCGTTCGTCCACGTCACCCTCCCGTGCCCGTCCGATATGAACCCCGGACACGTGTCCCTGCTAAGTCTCACCCTCCGCTCCTCGTCCGTACTCCCCAGCCACTCGCCCTCCACCCACGTGTTCGTCACGCACTCCACCGTCACACACGAACACCACCCTCCCATAATCGCACCGTACGGTTCAACCTTGCTCGTCAAGCTCCAGTTCTGGAAACTCACCCACATCGGCACGCTCTTCTTCAAGTAGTTGTTGATGTTGCCAATGTCGTTGTTTCGTGCTTCCTTTGCTACCGGTGGAGTTAGATCCCCCGCAGGAGAATCCTTCAGAACGGGAGTCTCCGGCAACAGAGGAAGAGTCACCGTCGGCGGCTTCTGCTTCGGAGAGGATGTGTTCTTCCTGCGGCGGGTCCTTCGTTTGGCGGTACGGTTGATATCGCTTGCGCACTTTCTCTTTGCGGTTCTGGTTTTGAGTAAGGTGTCGCTGCTCTCCGAGGAAGAAGCATCCGAAGCCAAGGATGCGGCGACGGGTTTGGGAGCGATAGGGCGAAACCTAAGCATTATTTTGTCGACGGTGGAGACGTGCGATGCACCGGGTACATAGCGGGCGATGCAACAACCTCCTCTGCCATCCATTTGCAGTGTGATTAAAGTAACCGCTTTTGTTGTTTGTTAATGTTAGTATTGCGATAATGGAGACAGGGATGGAGTTAAGAGATGCGTTAGTTTTATAGGAAGGGTGAAAGGGACACGTGTGAGGGGAGACACGTGTTGGAACAGTGAAGAAGGAAGGGGATTGGTTAAGGAGGGAAACGTGTCATGCGTTGGGAGATGGAAAGGTAAGGGACGAATGGGAGAAGGAGGAGTGCCGAGTGGTAGCTACAAAAAAACGGCACGTAGATTGCGAGCTTCGGCCATCGTGAATGAGAAACTTTGACCGTTGGATATGAGGTTTGGGAGGATTCCAGATCCTGCTCACAACTGAGAACCACGTGTCCACGTGTGTGAAAGGCAATGGCAGCCACAGTAGACCCACAAAACGACACCAATCAGAGTTGAAGTTTCGTGTCGTGAGATTACATTTTCCCAAACTTTTGCTTGCCAATTTATAGTAAAACCAGGCAGGCCCAGTTTATAGTAAATTCTCTTGTTTAGGCTAATCACCTACGCAAGCTGCATTTTTTGTAACTACTTTCGCAAACAAAATTAATGTAAGTTTTACCCGTATTGGAGGCACAAGGCTTAAGTGATTTAAAAGTGGGTTAAAACTAAATTAATATTTTTGAGAAATTGATGTAATTAAGGGTGTAGGATGATTTTATTAAGAAATTATGGAAAAATTGATTGAAAAGGGTGGGTCCGAGTGACAGTACTGTCGATAACCATTGCGATGTATGGAAGCAATCCTTGAGCATGTAGAAGAAAGCCACGTAGAATGGTGGGCAGGTTTTCCCTATTGGTCACAGGAAAAGAAAATCCATGGAGTATCGTGCCTATAAGGTGTGGTGGTAGGGCAGAGGATAGTCCTGAGGCATTGATATTTGAAATTTGAAATTAGAGTTCAATTATTCCGGCATCGGGTAAGGATATATAGTGTGGTTTCGTGGACCCCATGTGCATGCAAGAAATGAGTACAGATGGAGGAATCAGGGCCATTGGTTTGGCGTAGGTTGTGATTGGTCGACACTTTTGTAGTACAAGTGAATGACGTGGTGTGCATCGGTGGTGAAGCAGGGCTGTCAGAGCAACACAAGGTACGATTTGGTGGGAGTGGAGGATCTGATGGTCAGGTCATAAGTAGTGCCATTATTCACCCAGCTCCACACACCACATCTTGTTTCCTTTTATCACTGTTCACCGAATAATGTTGATGATCAGGCTATGTTTGGGGATCAGAAACCATCTTTATTTTNACTTTTGCTTGCCAATTTATAGTAAAACCAGGCAGGCCCAGTTTATAGTAAATTCTCTTGTTTAGGCTAATCACCTACGCAAGCTGCATTTTTTGTAACTACTTTCGCAAACAAAATTAATGTAAGTTTTACCCGTATTGGAGGCACAAGGCTTAAGTGATTTAAAAGTGGGTTAAAACTAAATTAATATTTTTGAGAAATTGATGTAATTAAGGGTGTAGGATGATTTTATTAAGAAATTATGGAAAAATTGATTGAAAAGGGTGGGTCCGAGTGACAGTACTGTCGATAACCATTGCGATGTATGGAAGCAATCCTTGAGCATGTAGAAGAAAGCCACGTAGAATGGTGGGCAGGTTTTCCCTATTGGTCCCAGGAAAAGAAAATCCATGGAGTATCGTGCCTATAAGGTGTGGTGGTAGGGCAGAGGATAGTCCTGAGGCATTGATATTTGAAATTTGAAATTAGAGTTCAATTATTCCGGCATCGGGTAAGGATATATAGTGTGGTTTCGTGGACCCCATGTGCATGCAAGAAATGAGTACAGATGGAGGAATCAGGGCCATTGGTTTGGCGTAGGTTGTGATTGGTCGACACTTTTGTAGTACAAGTGAATGACGTGGTGTGCATCGGTGGTGAAGCAGGGCTGTCAGAGCAACACAAGGTACGATTTGGTGGGAGTGGAGGATCTGATGGTCAGGTCATAAGTAGTGCCATTATTCACCCAGCTCCACACACCACATCTTGTTTCCTTTTATCACTGTTCACCGAATAATGTTGATGATCAGGCTATGTTTGGGGATCAGAAACCATCTTTATTTTTTAGGTCTCGCTCAATTTGTACCTTCCAAATGAATAAAGTGAACTGCATCTGTAAAAACCCATTGCGTGCCCCTTTGGATAGGCATCGCAATTCATGTCAGATCACTCTCTCACTGTGCTTCATTATGTCAGAGGAGTGGTGAGGGATAAGTATGACAACGCTCTGGGTGGGAGATGTCTCGGTTTATTCCAACAAGTTTATTAATTCAATTAATGGGTTTCTTAGGAAACATATTTATGCTATTTACAAATATAAACTCTTTTTTTAATTGATTTTTCAACATCAACTCTGATAAGAGGGCTAGAGTCAATTGTTTGATGTATTCTCCTTTTGAAGGCTATTTCTTTTATTATAATCTTGTTCTTAAAAATGTTTTAGGAAGATTGAAGGAAGAAAGCTTATCTTTAGTCTTGAAAACTATTAGGATACCAGGAACAAGTTCAATCGAAAGAGAGTTTTCATACCTACATATAAGATCAATGTTTAACATCGTGAGAATCAATCATTGAATCTCAGTGCTTTGGAACTTAACTCCAAGGACCCTTTATCCTTAAAAACTTATACAATAATTGAAAGAGAAAAGTCTATTTGAATTATCTTTATCTCAACTCTTGTAGTACGATAGTATTGAAATACCAAAGTGTGTATATAAATAATAAGAAATGTCAATCAATGAACGTTTCTCTCTGATATTATCATATGGTGTTAGATTTTTGCATTAGAGTTTTAGTCATATTTTTCCTTATTTTATTGTATCTACTTTTGCATTTGTGTTCATTAGTGGTGAACTGAACTGGATTTTTCACGATTTTGCAGCAAAATATGACTTTCGTTCATTCAAATTCATCTAATAATTCTTCATTAATTATTCTATTTCGACTTTTGAATAAAGGCAAATTCTCAGTCCTTTATATATTAAAAGGTAATTTCCTTTTTATACACATATTTTAAATTTATATTTTTATATTTCATATATGTAAAATATGTTTGGTAATTAAGTCAAAAATCATGTAAGAAATCGTATGACCAAATGATCATGTGACAAAACTCACAGGATGAAATCATCAAATGGATTTGACTGGTCAAATAATTTATATGTCGCAAGTTAATGATAAGAAGTTTATCAATCAAGCAGTCGAAAAAAAAAGAAAGTTTAGTGAATGTTCTTTAGCATCAACCATCCTTAAACACTTAAGATTATTAATGATTTTGAATCACGATATGAAAGGTAAAGAGGTAAATGAATTCATTTATTGTAAATTTAAAACTTTAATCTAACTTTTGATCAATTACTGACTTAAGCACCAGAGTTTTTTTAACAAGTATCCCGAACAGTTTGAAACATGAATAAGGAAATATTTGAACTAAGACACAAAGAATTATCTAAGCTGACTTGAAGTAAAGTGTGAAAGCGAGTTTTATAGAGACCATAGACTCTATACACAAAACAAAATCAATCTTTTCTTTAAATTTTAAAAATTTATTTGTTTTACTAATTATTGGATTTTTTTCTCCATTTCTGTTTTTAAATCATTTTTATTTTCAAATTTGATTAATGAAGGAATTTAGTTTATGAGATCAGAAGTTAAAAATTTAATAATATATGTTTCAGCGCTCGTTAAAATAAACACATACATGTCATTATGTAGATTCGTACGTGTTAACATATGAGCACATAAATAATACACATCAACCAATCTTTTATGTCAATGGATCGTGATGATTAAATCAATTTATTAATAAAATTTGAGATAAAAATAATTTAAAATTTGAGAAAAAAAATAAAGTTTTGTTTCATATAAAAATTAAGTAACAAAAAGCTATTTAACCTGATGTTTTTTATTGATTAAAACATGATTATAATTTATTAATTATCTTTAACTCTATTATCTTATGACAGCTTCCACTGAAAGTAATGTTTATTGAAAAGGTGGAAATATAACAACGTCGTCGTAGTAATGATAATTTGGAAGGGTAGATATTATATTTTATTGTTTTTATCAAAACTTATCTTCCGGTGCTTCCACTTCTTTAGAGATGTCAGATTGAATGGTTAGGTTAATCAATTTAACCTATCCACTGGTTAGAGAGAAAAAGAGTTAAGATAGATCCATTGGTTTGATTTCTAAAATGTATTTTATTGCTAAACATGATTTTATCAGATATAACGTTTTTTAATACTGTCGATATCTTTTGCATTAATTAATACCTTTAATATATAAAACTATATTATTTAGTATTTATATTTTAAATCTTAATGAGTTAATTTAGGTGGATTTTGACCTCAAATGCTATGTCTCATTTATTAAGTTTGAGAGTAGTGAATAGTGTGTAGAGAACCCTAACTTGTGTTTATAGTTGCTTTCAATGTTTAACCAAAACTTAGCTGTTGAGTTCGCTAACCTAGCTTGGAGATATGATCAATACTCTAACAAAGAGTGTTTGTTTTCTATCACTTTAGGATAAAGACATGAAGCAATGATATCAAGAAAGTTGTTTCTCCTCAATTGGTATTTAATGAATACACCCTGTGATGGTAGAAACGGTTTCTTAATCAAAATTGAATATTACTATTTTTAAATCTTAAATATCTCGAATGAATCTTGGCAACAATTTTAATTTAAAATACTGGTTTATTTGAAATTTTTATTGCATGATAGTCATGTGACATTTTCAAAGTCTTGAAATATTAAGACTTGAATGTTTTATAAGGACATCTTTGGTTTAAAAAATTTAAATATTTATTTTTAAGATCAAAAATATAAATGTTTATTATGCCATTTCATTTTATTTTGGTCAAACACAAAAGATATATATCGTTACAATTTGAATATAAAAAAAATGAATCCGACCAAATCAAATATTCTGATTGTGTTCCATAATTTTTTTACTTTGTTTTCTAAACCAATAATCCAATAAATTTAATGTCTTATTTTCCTCAAAATGGTGTATTATTAAATAATATATTTACTTGTAC